CGTGTGGTGGACGGCACTGCGCTGTCGTGTGGGAAGTATTATTTAGAATTTATTTATATAATTGTAGATCACAAAGCTTCTCTAAAGAATTAACAACCATTCTCTAACCAATCATCATATTGTAGAGAGTGTGGCTGCGCGCCCTTGTTTGGAATATGGTAGTTAAAGCTAGATTCAGTGAAACGGTATAGCACGGGAAATCGGAGAGGCGTATTTCATAAACAAAGCTGGGGATTCATGTGTCACGTAACTCTCACTTATGTTGCTTGCTACTGAGGTAGCTTTCCTGGAAGCGCATCATTTATACAATCTGTCTGCTCATCTAATCCTTTTCTTTCACCGCACGTGTTCTCGTAACCGCATATATACGTATGTCGTTTTCTCCAACAATGTTTCAGTTGTCAGTGTGTGCTGCGTCTAGGTGTCTTCCTTTTGTATTTCAATTTTTTCGCGCAACTCGGTAATTACATAATATTTCTTGTTCTTGAAACTATGTTACCCCTTTTTTACACAAAATGCAGCCATGTGCGAAACCTTCATTGAGACACTTTCAACTTCTCAATTACACAGTACTATTCCACAATTAAATTTGTTCAAGTAGCATCATGCAATAAAGAGTACACACTAAGTGATTGAATTACGCACAAGAAACAGGATCGATACTGCTATCACGTTCAACTGTGAAAAACGGAGCTTAACGGTCCCCCAATTTTTTCACACAGTAGCTTATACATGATTACAAAAAAAAAGTAGCGCTCAAATGACAAACGAACAGAAGATGAACGAAGGCAGACTTTCAGCGCTCACTTCCAAATGTTCTTCTTGCTCGTTCGTCCCTCATTTTTTTCCTTGCTATTTTTACTATCGTAATACCGAATGTACTGGAAACGCAAAGCGCGAAAATCGCGCAGCAGATTTTCTTGTGTTATATGTAATATGGCACGGAATAGCTACCCAGACTAACACCAGATATCTGTTGATTTCCTGATTGAGCTTCGTGGGTAAGCAGCGTTCCAAAGTTTACAAAAAAGTTCATTGTTTTCACGTGCGCCCAGATGTGGTCTGAAAATTTGTAGCAGAGTAACCTGTGAGTTCTTCTTGTGATGCAAGAAGGTACCGCTTTGTTGAACTCTCTACACAGAAAGTTGTTAGGCGACATAGAGATGGCGCATTTTTTTAGCGCACGTCAGCATCTATAATTTTCATATGGCACGCACATCCTCTTCTCAGCGATATGCGTGCTTGGCGCAACACTGCAAAGGTTGAAATTTTCGTCATGCGCAAACATTTTCATGCTTGCACATTGATGTGTAAAATACTTCGATTTCTTTACCATTAAGTTCAAGATAAAGTGCTTTCTTGTTACAATTACGTTGCATCGCGGGTGCAACGCGGTCATGTGATTCATGTGCATTCGCACTTTTCTAGCATTGGTGTGTAGCACAGCGTTGAGAACACTTGCCTTGGTAGTGTGAGGGCTCTCGTTCAGAACAAGGCACGCAATACCATTTGCGTATTTTGATCGATGTATTTCTGCATGGTTACGACCGTCTTGAGCGGTGGAATGACATAAACAGAAGGACATATTTCTAGTTCACTCGGCATATAGATGCTGCGCATTTGCGATCGCCAAACTTCATACGGGTGAACTGAAGATTGCTAACTCAGTTTTAATCAAGATTGCTGTGCTGCTCGAATTGTAGGGCGAGTATTGAAAACAAAACGAATATATTATCACAAAAAAACTTTTGAAAGAGGTAGTTCACCTTGCTCGGCCGACATACAGACGCACCGCAGTAACGTGGTGGGCAGCTCAGCGCACGACGCGGGTCTATTTTGATTTCTGCCGTAGTGGAGGTCAACTTGTCAACGTGTATGTCAAAGTCCACAACATCTGCGAAGACATGCAATAAAATCCTATAACTAAAATGTTCTTTAAGTTCGACGTGCGCATTATAAGAGCGTGTTATGTTTTTGTACGGAGCGTTTCTCGCAGTCATGCGTATGTAATAGCACGCGAAGTGGCGCAAAATAGCTGCGATTTAAACGCAGTCTCACTTTCGACGCATTCGAAGCAATAAAGGAGAAAGCTATGACAATGTATTATGCATCGATTTACCGTATTATATAACGCAAATCCCTACTTTAGGACAACACCTAAATGGTACCACACTAAGCATTTTCTGAAAATTTTTAACAAACCACCTAAAAAGAAACGATTAGAACCTATGCAAAGTGCCTGGGCACGGACACAGCTGCACACTAAGCAATGAATTCACTGGTAATACTTTTCCTCAGTTCGGAAGAAATATCGCTATGATTGTTAGTCCACAAATCGTAAAGCTGCTGACGTTCCCGGCATTTATACATGTGCAGCCTGAGATTATCCTGCGTTCTAACACGCAAAACGTTTAAGGAATAGTAAAGCATCCTAAATTGCACACGTTTCGCACACTACAATTGTCTTTTATGGAACAGCTCAAAAGCAAGACGGTACTGTTTTGCGAGAGGATGCTACAAATCACCTACCTCCGTCAGCAGAATACACAGACAAATTTTCACCCCGTGAAACACGTCCATGCGGTCACTTCGCTGTGTGCGTAGAAATACACTTAAGTCTACGCAGGCTGGAAGATTGGAGCAAGTAACGTTTGTAACGTCAGGCTCATAATGGTTGTCCCAGCACATGAACCAATGCGCAGCATTTTGAACATCGGATCTAATATTGGTAGGCGACCTCGAGATTGTACTTGTCGAAGCAGCCAGCTGGCCGGTTCCAGCGCAGTACAAATTTGTTTTTAGCCACTTCTAATGTAGGACGCACCTCTGGCATATCTGCAATAAAAGAATGGTGTTCCTACAGCAAACTCATTGTATGTTTCTCTTACTAATCTACAACAATAGCATGGACATAGACGACATTGCCTGATGAGCTCTTCAAAGCAAAGCATTTTATAGCAAGGTTCTGCAAAACATTGAACTGAAGTAATTTTAGTAAGCATTTACGCAAGACACCAGTTTTACGTCAAGGTCATCCTTCTTCACCGGCACTGCATAGAAAATTCCTATTCCAATGATTTCTCTTATTTGACACAATAGCGTTAAGCAGCTTCTTTGTTAGAGAGAGAGAGAGAGAGAGAGAGAGAGAGAAATGAGAAAAAAGGAAAGCAGGAAGGTAAACCATATGCTAGTATCCGGTGCTACCCTACACTGGGGTTGGGGAATACGGGGTTGAAAGAGAGAAAGAGAGGTAAAAAATAGAGGAGAGCAAAACACGGACACACATGCACACACAACAACAATTCACTCTGAGGCGCTCCGACAGGCCAGTAGTTCGCAAGAAGCCCAGTATAGCGCTTGCGAAGCCATCTTTTGTGATGAGTTATGACAATGGCGCAGTTACTTTCTTCTGACAGCGGCTGGTCATCTAACTTGTTTAGTGTATTAAGAGGGTACTGTATTTCTAAGGTATATTCTGCGCAGTCACACAGAATGTGTCGAATTTTCTCTTCGTCTCCGCAGTGTGCACAAGTGACGGTGTCGGCCACCCCTATGCGGAACGCGTACGCACGGGCAAATGCGACACCCAAACATAGTCTGCGCAGAGCAGTAGCGTCACCTCGTCGAAGATTTGTTGGAAGCCGTAAGCTTAACGTAGGATCAAGGGATCTCAATTTTGCATGCGTAAAAAAGGCTCATTCTAAAGTGACGTAGATCACTTGCGCGCAAGCATGCGGAGATTCCTAGCAGTGTCTGTTCTAGAGAGAGGTATTGACCACTCGCTGTCTTCTGTATAGGCTAAACGGGCAGCATCATCAGCCCAGTCATTACCGACAATTCAACAGTGATTTCGCAACCACTGAATTATAACGTGGTGTTTTTATAACATATAATTTAGCATTTCTGCCGTCTCAAAAACCAACTCTTCATGCGGACCACGGCGTAGATTTGACGACGTGACTGCAGTGCCGCCTTGCAGCCGCAGAAGATTGTCCACCTGCGCGTGCTTTGGTCATTAATGAAACGCAGCACAGCGCTGCAAGCTGTGCTGACGTTGATGTGGTTGCATGAGCTGTCCTGAATTTGATGGTTGTGGCATGCGTCGAAATAACAAGCACCGCTATTGAGCTGTTGGCAGGATAGAGCCGTTGGTGTAGATGAAGGGGCAGTCTTGGTACCTCTCGTACAGTAGAAGTAAGGCGAGCTGCTTGATGGCTGGTTTGACAAATCTCGCTTTTCCCGGATGCCAGGTACTGTCAGGTTTCTGTTTTGGTTTTAGCGGGCTTGATTTGAGCGCCAGTTTAGTGTGTTCGTGGTAATTTGAGACAGGTGCAAACTAAAAGCAGTGCACAAGAAAGGCGTACCTCTGACGCTCAATCTACTGCTTTTGCAGATTTCCCTGCCAAGTCGGCCTACCGAGCCTCGTGGAAATACTGCCGTTTCTTCAACGAACAAGCAAGACACGCTGGCCCCCGGACATCGCTTCGGCGTTTCTGCGCAGCCATTTCGGCGCATGAGCCTATCAAGTCAGCTGACACGGAGGGAGTGACGGCGAACAGTAGAAAAGACGGCGGAATCCTGCGGCTCGCTTAGTTCGGCAGCAGTGCACAAGAAAGGCGTACCTCTGACGCTCAATCTACTGCTTTTGCAGATTTCCCTGCCAAGTCGGCCTACCGAGCCTCGTGGAAATACTGCCGTTTCTTCAACGAACAAGCAAGACACGCTGGCCCCCGGACATCGCTTCGGCGTTTCTGCGCAGCCATTTCGGCGCATGAGCCTATCAAGTCAGCTGACACGGAGGGAGTGACGGCGAACAGTAGAAAAGACGGCGGAATCCTGCGGCTCGCTTAGTTCGGCAGCAGTGCACAAGAAAGGCGTACCTCTGACGCTCAATCTACTGCTTTTGCAGGTGAGGCTAGTCCCATTTGTTTCTCTGGCATAGGAGTGCACTGCTGCCGAACATAGCGTCTTTGCTGTTGTTGTGCATGACATTTTGGAAATGGGAAGTAAGGGCTCTGGAAAAGATACTTCAGATTCTAAAGAGTTACGTGACCTGTTCAGGGCGTTTGAGAACTTCAAACGGATTTCCGGGTAGAAATGAAGGAACTGAAAGAGGGAGTGTCTTTTTGTTCTGATGTATGCAATGATGTTAAAGACGTCGCAGAAGATATCAGGACATTAAGGCAGGAAATGAAGGAACTGCTTAGTGAAAACAGGAAACTAAAGACAGAGAATGAGCGCCTGTCGAAGAAGTGTGAGAGCTAGAGCAGTATCAGCGTTCAAATAACCTGGAGATTAAAGGCATACCACCTGGTAGTGATGCTCTCAGTATTCTTCAAAAGATTGGGGATAGCGTGGGTGAGACCGTTGACACGTCAGATATTGACATTTGTCACTGGGTTCGCACGCCAAAACCTACAATTCAGAACATTCTTGCTCGGTTCGTCAGGCGTGGAAAGAGGAATGATTTTCTGGCTAAATGTAGAAAGAGGAGATTAGACACTTCAATGCTTGGTCTTAGACCAGGGGCTGCTATTTTTGTAAATGAGCACCTAACTCAAGCTAACAAGGCGCTGCTTTCAGCCGCCATCCAAAGGAAAAAGGAAAAACAATGGAAGTTTGTCTGGACTTCTGGTGGTAGAGTGCTTGCCCGTAAGGATGAATCTTCTGCTGTGGTTAATGTGACCTGTCAAGATGACATAGAAAAAATGTGCTGAGTTTGCTGAGTGTATCTTGCGTGTACCAATGTTGTTTTTCGTTGTTCACTATGAGTGTTTTCAGTGAAACTCATAAGTATTACAATGTTCTTGATTTAAAATCGTGTTATCCACAAAATAAAAATTTCCTTTCTGCTTTACATGTGAATGCCAGGAGTATTAGAAGTAAAATAGACGACATAAGCATTTTTCTAGACACCGCGGCAATAAACTTTGATATGCTCATGTTCACTGAAACGTGGTTAACCGATGATAATAATGTCCCAAGTTTTCCTGGATATCGATCTGAGCATCTTTGCCGCGCGGACAGAAAAGGAGGCGGAGTCGCAATTTATTAAAAGAAAAATATACCCATGAAAAACTAGAACTGTCGGTAATCACAACAGATTTTGAATGTTTGGCTATAAAGGTTGATAAACTTGTAGCGATTGTCATTTATAGGCCGCCTCAAGGGCACAAAACACGTTTTTTAGAGTTTATAGACACACTCCTATCTTCCCCATTACTTCACAACACTTCTTATGTTATCATGGGGGACATTAATATCAATCTTGCTGCAAACGATACGCCCGCCGTACATTTTGAGACACTGCTTTCTGCGTTTGGTTGTGTAAATCATGTATGTTCCCCTACCAGAGTGACCAGGGACAGTGCAACATTACTCGATATATGCGTTACAAATTCGAACCCAGCGGAGATCATAAGCGGTATCGTGTCAAGTGATCTTAGCGATCATTTGCCAGTTTTTTGTTACATACCCTTGTTATTGAAACACCAAAAGCAACAGAAGGAAACCTTCGTCCGACGCAACATAAATAGTGAAAGTAAGAACTTATTCTTTCAGCTCGTCAAAGCAGTAGATTGGAATGATATTATAAGATAAAAGATGCTGATGAGGCCTATAATGGTTTTTTGAATGCATTACGTCACTGTTACAACACGGCATTTCCTAGGAAAGAAGTCTCTTTTCGAAAGAGAAAAACTTGCCGGAAACCTTGGATAGACTGCTCGCTTTATAAACGTATTCAAATAAAAAATGGCCTTTTTAAAAATTTTTAAGCCTACGAGAACCCGAAGCATTTGCCGAGTACAAAAAATACCGCAACGCACTTACATCAGACTTAAAAAAGGCTAAACGAGAATATTATCAGAAAAAATTTCAGAACATATGTGATAACCCAAGAAGGGTCTGGGAAACAGTGGATGCCCTTACTGGGAGAAAGAAAGCAAGACATGACATCACAGAAATGCAAGAGGAAAACGTGGTGCTGCGTGGAGAGAACCTAGCCAATGCTATAAATCGTCATTTCGTCAATGCGGGCGCGTATAGTGGTTTTTCTGAAAGAGAAGATGACTCGTGTTTCGAAGAAACAACAGCTATGCAGAATTCAATCTTTATGCTTCCTACTGACAGTGCTGAGATAGCTAACCTAATAAAAAAACTTAAGAGCAATGTGACGCCAGGTATAGACGAAATCACCGCAGCTGAACTAAAGTTGATATGTCCGCTAATATCCGAGGCGCTTGCTTACATAGTAAATCTTGTACTGAAAACAGGCGTGTTTCCGGCACAGTTAAAAGTTGCAAGGGTAACCCCAATTTACAAAGGAGGTGGCATTAATAATATGTCAAATTATAGACCGTTTCAGTACTCTCGACATTATCAAAGGTTTTTGAAGGCGTTATTCACGACAGGTTGTTATCCTTTTTCAATAAGTATGGCATCATCACAACATGTCAGTATGGTTTTCAGAAAAACAAGTCTACTGAACAAGCGTTAACGATTATTAAAGATCAAATAATTACAAATATGGAAAATAAGAAATTTACGCTTGGTTTATTTTTGGACTTAAAAAAAGCCTTCGATTCAATACATTATGATATTGTTACGGAAACTATCACGGTACGGCATACGTGGGGTCACCCTTAAGCTATTACAAAACTATTTGCATAACCGGTACCAACTAGTACAAATGAAGACAGCCACATCAAGTCGGCTTCAGTTGACCCAAGGAGTTCCGCAGGGTTCTATACTGGGTCCTTTGCTCTTTTTGCTTTATGTTAATGATATTGTATGTATACCCGCCTCACCACAGCTTATTATGTATGCAGACGACACAAATGTATTTTTCACATCAGATCACTTAGAAATACTAGAAAAAAATGTAAATGAATATATGACGTCACTCTCAAACTGGCTTAAACAAAACAAGCTACAGTTAAATGCCAAGAAGACGACATATTATATTTCGCCCAATAAATAAACATGTTAAATATGACATAAAGATAAGCTTTGACGGGAACATCATAAAACGAGAAAAACATCAAAAATTTCTGGGGTATGGTTCAGTGAAGACTTAACGTGGAATGTCCACGTTAATCATTTAGTTAGGCAACTTGCGGGAACGGTAGGATGCCTGTACAGAATTGGTTCCCTCATTCCTCAGTGGCTGAAGAAAAATTTGTACAATGCCCTATTCTATTCGAGACTTTGTTACGGCGTACTAGTATGGGGTACCACAACAGCGAAAAATTATAACAAACTTATAATGCTACAAAAGAAAATACTTCGCTGTTATGAAAATTACCAGGGTAGAATAGACCGTTTGCGCACTTCAGTGCTCTTTGATAAACATGAAATCTTAAGGCAAACCAAATATATTATTTTAAACTGCTTCAAGAGGTACACAAAAATAAGTGGTATAAACAAAAAGAAAATGACCAACGTTATCCTGCAAGAAGAAACTTACAGCGTTTACCGAGAACCAGGACAAATTACGGAAAGCAAACACTGCATTACCAATCAACGCGAATAGTAAATGAATTCCAAAATGGCTTGCAGTTTGACGTCAGTCTAGGGACATTTAAAAACAAGTTAAAGAAATTTTGATCAAAAAAGAAATAACTTATCATCACTAATCTATAGTGTAAAAGAGTAGGTAGAATGTTAATGTTAAGAAAGTAAGTAGTTCATTATGGTATACGATGCATCCATTTTATGTTCCTGCATCTGTATTATGCTAAGTGTATTATGTTGCTTGTTTTTTTTTATTCCTGTATTTCTTTTGTTAGCGCTCATGTGGTACATGACATGTTAGTTTTTGCTGCTTGTTTGTATCTGCAAAAAAAAAAAAAAAAGTGCATCTGTGACGAACTACAGGTGCAGAGGCCTTTGTCAGGCGTATGAAACGCCTTTTGCTTCTGTATCCTTTTTCTTGCCTTTCAAGAAATAAAATAAATTACTACTACTACTACTACAAAAGAAAACCTGCACACTGTACATTTGAGACGGCTCTGTGGTCTTCCTGTGGGGATTTCTTTCGAGTGCAAGACACCACCTCACTGACATGCCATTGGTCGCATTTTTCCGAGTGCGATTTTGAAGGGTTGCTAGGATGACGTCTCAACCCACGGCTATCATTTGGAACCTTTGCGATGTTCGGAAAGAGCCTGAACAGATTACAACCTGCAAGCGACTACAAGATTTCAACTTGTCCTCGTCTGCTTTTTTTCTACCTTGTCGTTCTATTTGCCCAGATTTGTCTAAGTAATTATGCGCGACCTACTAGTTTAGAGGATTCGTCCCGATCTCCACTAACTATGATCCCCGCTGTCCTGTATTCTCACCGGATCTCTATCAGGGCTCCGCAACTGTCTGTAAAGATGCAGTAAGTATATCTGAAATGATCACGTTTTGTGCTTTACACCCATGTTTATTGAATCACACTTATGAATTACTCGGGGCCTGCGCAACAGCTGCTGACTTCTTCAGTGGCTTCATATACAAGCATTCTTCACCAATATTTCATAATACCAGCAATACTAGGTACTTATACTCGGTATCTGATGGAACTTATGTCAGTGTGATAGTTATGTTACAATAGGAAATGTATATATAGAGATAATGTATCAGCAGGCTTCTGTTGCAGTAGTGATATTGTGAATATTGTGCTTACGCTGTGAATATTGTGCTAACAATATAGTAATAGCGCTTTATTTACAGTAAGTACGTCACAGAGCTCACTGCAGGGTGTGGCAGTTTGGGCTAGTTGGTCTGAAATGACGATAGGTATACTGCGAGAACAGAGCGACGACAAAGGGACCGCTCCAGCTTACTTCACGTTACTCCAGCTTTTAGGCTCCAGCTTACGTCTCCTTTTTTTCCCTTTGTCATCGTTCTATTCTCGCGCTATAACTATCGTCACTGCAGGAGAAAGGTATAAAGGCAAAGAGCGTCAAAATGACCCCTCTTCCTCCGCAGTTCGTACTGAGCTTTTACATCCCCACAGCAAAAAAAAAAAAAAACATCAATACATTACGTTTCAGAGAAATGGGCAATAAGCAACTTTCACGTGTACATCAAAATTTATAAACAAAAAATGAAGTATTTTCAAAACACAATACATGAGTTTGAAGTCTCTATCGCAGACATACACAAGCAAGTGTAAATGACCAAAAAAGTTTGAAAACTGAGGAACACAAAATGTACGTGGATGCACGTATATTACACTGTCAATACTACATTTTCAGGAAAAGGGCCGAGGCGCCGGTGCGTTATTGAGGTTTGTACCCGCAGTTTTGTATTCTTACGATGAGTAAGGGGTAATGGCTGCTCAGACGCACATGGAATGAATGAGCTTTATCTTTATAAAGGAGTTTCAGCATGCAGATCGACTATAATGTCAAGAGGAGCTATAAATAAAAGTATGAATACGGATTCATACCTAAACAAAGTTACCGAATGAAATATTCTGAATGCAAAGATAATTCAAAAAATACTAATATGCAAAAGTAGCACATACATTTATAGTGCCATAAGTTTTGATATCTCGCTTTGTTTTTGGTATGAACTGTTTGCGTATGCTAAGTGACAACGCCGCTATGCTGCACTTAAAGATGCGAACCTTTGTATTGGTTGTATCAGTAAAGACATATGTATGAGTTAAAACACACCAAACACATTAATTAAAAAAACATAAACATCAGATAGTGAAGGCCGAAAACATGAAACTGAACAGCGGTACAGCTTTCCTCCAACTTCTTTGCTCACTAGCTGGTTACTACTTAAATATAAAATCCAACAGCTCGGCATCGCTAGGAAGCGAACGTAAAGACGTGTGGAAATACCTTTTTCGTACATGACGATGTCGTGCAGAGAGACACCAGATGAAGTAAGCTTCAGTTGTCCTTTTCTCTCGGTACGTACGGTGATTTTCACGCTGCATGCTTCTATTTTCCTGCACGTGACGCTAGTGCGATGCGCGTCAACAGTGATACCACCTGCACAGGAGCCCGCACTGAGGCCTCCACCACCACTGCTTCCGCTGTTTTCTTCAGCGACTTCCACAATGTAGCCGTCAAAGCAGCCCTCTGGTCTTTGCCAGGAAACAGTAATGGAATCTTTGTCCATATCGGTCAATTTCAGCTGAGTCACTTCAGGAAGATCTGCGCAGTGTGTTCGAAGAAAATTTATTTAGTTGGTCCCTATGCAGGTCCACGTGCATATTTGTAATCTACGTTTTCATTATCTAGACACCTGCTGCGAATTCTCTAGAGGCGCCTATTCGTAACACGCAACTTTAGCTACATACCTGACATGCAATAAGCAGAGAGCAAATTTTTTGAAGACGAGAGCATCAAACGTGTCACCCAAAAAATGAACAGTTGGTGCGAGCGCCGTCAAGAAGGATGATGCCAAATTGCCAATTTTGACGAGATCACCATGTCATGTAATCCTAACGTCATAGATCGGCAAAACTTGCTAAGTCACACGATGACGTCAATTCACGTCATCACACGACTGCCTTCATGGTGTTTTTACCTGACTTTGTCACCTTCTTTTACCTAAATTTTTACCAGCCTAACCTTCTTTTGCTGAATAAAGCTTATTTAGTGCAGTCACCACACGAGTAAGCCAATAGTCTTCTTCACCACATAATCTAGCGTGCGGTGTTACAACGGCCGTAACACCACGGTTCATGTCTTTGTGAACTATTTCATAGAGCTCTGAAAGCTACTTGAGAATAGAGTAAATTTGCGGTGATACAATCACGGCTAGAAGAGTTTCGAGGTGAAAATATTCTTTCTCCAGTGCCAGCAAAGTCACCGTTAGCTTGCAATTCATTGATGTATGCTTGTTGCGAACCCATTTCCAGAACGCTACGTTTGACACGAATGTACCAACCAACCACTTCTCTCTCAACAGCGCACGATACGAAACGACTCGGCCACAAATCATAGGTGTGTGCTGTGCTCATGGCGGCATATACACACAGTTTACTGCCGGCGTTTCTCGTCGTTCGGTGGCTTAAATGTGATTTAGTTACGACTAGCGAAATTGTGTGAGGATGTTGTTTAAACGCCATCACTCTGCTCTTACGATGCGTGCGCACTTGTCGCTTGATTGAGGTGACTTGTATGTTTCATGCAGGCGTTCAAGTTGCGAAAAACACGAATGTCGCCTTGCTCACAACAGCGGTCACGTTCTGAAAGAAGCGCTGCTGAAACAGTAAAACTAAATTACTGTAGCAGTTGTTCGTTCACGATCACTGGTGTAGTCACAATTCCGTGCATGGTAAATACACTCAGGTGGTCGAACTCTCCGGAGCCCTTCACTATGGCATCTCTCATAAGCATATTGTGGTTTTGGCAAACTATACCTTAGATATTACTGCCAGTTTACACTTTGCGTGCATATTTCGCCCTCGTTTCTTGCGTCCTCATTTTTTTTAGTGAATACTAAAAAGGGCCTACAAGTGATCGCGGGTCAAAAACAATCTGGTTCCTTATTACGCACGGATATTCACAATGAGTGTGACAGCCAGTTTTTTTTTCACTATTCAGTTTGCGCAGTCACACCTGTTTTAAGATTGAAGATACATCTTTAAGAATTTGGAAATTTCATTAAAGTTTTTCTTAGACGCACATGTGCGAAGCGACTATCTAGGTACATGAAAGCACCCCCCCCCCCCTTTTTTTTTTTTGCTCTTCTGGTGATACCAGACGGCTGCTTTTGGAATACCTCCCCCATCTTCCTAATTTACTGTGGAACTAGCAATGACGAATGTGGCCTTAGGTACACGCAAGACAGAATATAACTTCGAAAGTAATCACTTGTCGTTCACCAGACAGACTAACACCAAAATGCGCCAACAGGGGCTTTTACGCAGAAACACGGTATTGTGCTGCCGTAATTTTTAGAGAGTTTTAGTACTGCGTACGTACGTGGCGGCGTTGCGTACGTAAGGGCGCCACGTTCTGCGTAGTGCACATGCGCAGACCGCAACGCGCACGTATCGCGTTGCGTACGCGTTACGTACGCAGCCGCTACGTACGCACGCATGAGATGCGTGCGTGCGTACGTATGAGGTGATCGCGCCGCTCTCGAACAAGTTCGCGACAGCGCGAGACTTCGTTTTTGCAAATGGCGGCGTCGAAGGCAAGCACCGACCGGCTCTGTGGCTTAAATATGGGCCATAATCTGGCTATAGCACTTGGATTGGCCCACATTGGCTGTCAACAACACGTGCTTCTATTTTGATCTACCATATGGTGCAACACGCTTCACGCTCGTTTACGTCGCGGGTGCTACGGCGTACTAAAAGCAGATTAGGTGGCAAACGACGCCACGTAACGGAAGGCGCTGCGTGGTGCGTACGTTCACCATTCCGCAGTACTAAAACTCTCTTTTCCCTCGTGGGTGTCCCTCACTGCCCGCTGCATGTCTTCGCACGTGAGAATGGCTCATAATGAAA